GGGGGCGGCGGGTGCTGCGGGCCATGGGGGTCGGGGCGGGCCGGGGAGGGGCCGGGCGGGGTGTCTCGGTGTTCAAAGCCAGGGGGCCCGGCGTCATCATCCTCGTCATCCTGCCGTTGATGATGGAGCATTTGCTGCTGCATCAGCTGCTGCTGTTGCTGCTGCTGCTGCTGCTGCTGCTGCTGCTGCTGCTGCTGGCGGCTCTTAGCCGCGGCCTGCACCAAGCTGACCACCGCCATCGTCGACACACGCGGCCGCTGGCTGGCGGGGGAGGGCTGCTGCTCCTGCTGTGGCACCTGCTGCTGGGACAGCTGCTGCTGCGGCAGCTGCTGGTGGGGCAGGTGCTGTGCGGCATGTGGGGCCTGCTGGCGCGGGTGCTGCTGCGGGGCCTGCACCTGCTGCTGAGCGGCAGCATGGCCTGGCGCTTGCTGCTGCTGCTGCGGCTGCTGCTGCTGCTGCTGCTGCTGGTGGTAGAATTGCGCTCGCAGCATAGCTTGTGACTGTGGGGTGGCCGTGCCCCCCGCCCTCTCCGCGCCCGCACCTGAGCCCCGAGCCCCGCCGGCGCCACTAAAGCCGCCGCCACTGCTACCGCCGCCGCCGCCCAAGGCGGCGATGTTGGCGCTCCCCCACTGCTGCAGCAGCTGCTCGTCTCTCTCACGCTCTCGCTGCTGCCCTAAATGCTGGGAGGGCCCGCTGCTGTCTTGTCGCGAGGGCTGCCCGTGCTCCCAGTACTGACGCCGCTGCACCGCTTGCTGCTGCTGCTGCTGCTGCTGCTGCTGGTGCTGCAGCTGCTGCTGCTCCCCAGCATAGGGCATTGGCTGCCCCGCGACGCCAAAGGCGCCGCCGCTGCTCACGCTCGACCCGCGCCGGGCCCCGTCGGCCGCCGGCCCTACGCCGCCAGCTTGCCCCGGGTGTCCCTGCCCCAGCCTGCTATAGCCATGGCCGTGGCCGCCCGCCGGCTGCTGCTGTTGCTGCTGCGCCGCCTGCAGGCCCGACAGGCGGTCGCTGCTGCGGCTAGGCCGCAGCGTTGCCGCGTGGCCCATGGCAGTCGCATGCTGCTGCAGCTGCGCCGGCTGCTGCCCCACGCCGACGGCTGGCCCTGCAAGGCGACGATCACGCACGCCCTGCTGCAGCTGCTGCTGCTGCATTTGCTGCTGCTGCTGCTGCTGCTGCTGCAGTTGCTGCTGCTGCTGCTGCTGCTGTTGCTGCGCCAACGCCGCCGGCATGCTAACATAGGACCGGGGATCCAAGGGTTCAGTGTGGGACCTGGCCTCACTCTGGGAGCGAGATATGCCTGACAGCGATATATGTGTGTGTGTTTGCGCGTGTGTGAGAGAGGGAAAGAGAGAAAGAGAGAGAGAGTGAGAGAGAGAGAGAGTGTGTGTGTGTGTGTGTGTGTGTGTGTGTGTGTGTGTGTGTGTGTGTCTGCGCATGTCTGCGCATGCGTGCGCATGCGTGTACGGATGGTTGGAAGCAAGGCTCGGATGCCGCCCCCACGCCAGCAAGAGACGAATGGTTGAAACCCCTGTGGCGACAGAACAGTCAATGAAAGGCGGCGCATACGGTGTCTGGCGTGCACGAGGTGCACCCACCCGGTCCGCTCCAGGCCAGCGCCTCGTGGCCCCCCCAGTAGTGCTGCTGCTGCTGTTGATGCAGCTGCTGCTGCTGCTGCTGCTGCTGCTGCTGCTGCTGCTGCTGCTGCTGCTGCTGCTGCTGCTGCTGCTGTGCTGCTGCTGCCTGGGCGCCCGGCGTGCCGACACTGTGAGCCCGGTACAGAGCAGCACCTCCACCAGAGCGGTCAGCAGCCGCCGCCGCACCCCCACCAGAGCCGCCGCCGCCGCCCCCGCTGCGCTCGCGGTCGCCGCCCGGCTGGCGCGCCTGCTGCGGCCCGGCGCCGCCCGGGGGCAGGTAGCCAGCGCCAGCCATGGGCGGCGCGCCGTGCACCGCGACCCATCCCGCCGGCACGGGCATCGCCACGGCGTAGGGTGCGTGCGGCGCCAGGCGGCTCTGCGCGTGCTGGCCCAACAGGTATGAAAGCATCGCAGCCGCGGGCGTCTGGGGCCCTGGCGCAGCGCCATCTGGGAAGTGCTGCTGCTGCTGCTGCTGCTGAGGGGCCTGCGCGCCGTGGTGCGGCGCAGGAGCGCCATGCTGCAAGCCAGCCGCGGCGCCGGGGAACGGCGGCATCCCGGGAAGTGGGCCGGGCGCGGCGGTCGCTGCCGCTGCGCTGACCGTGCGGCGCAGGTCTTTGTCAGGGGGCTGGGGGGTCGGTTCGACGGTGCGGTGGTGCTGCTGCTGCGGCAATTGGTGCTGCTGCTGCTGCTGCTGCTGCTGCTGCTGCTGCTGCTGCTGCTGCTGCTGCTGCAGCTGGTGCTGGTGCTGCGGCTGCTGCTGGTGGTGATGTTGCAAGACAGCCGCTGCTGCGGCGCTCCCGGCAGTTGGCGACGAGGGAGAAGCAAACTGCTGCTGGTGCTGCTGCCGGCTGTACGCTGCTGCGGCGCCGTAGTCACCCCGCAGCTCGACCCCGCCAACCCTGGCGCCGCCGCCGCCCGCAGCAGCCGCGCCCGCGGACCCGCGAGGCCCGCGACGGGCTGCAGGGACATCTGGAGGGTGGCCGGCTGGGTACGTGCCGCCTTGGCTGGGGCTGGGCGGCTGGGCAAAGATGTCGTCCCCTGGACCGTCCACCAACACCTGCTGCTGCTGCTGCTGCTGCTGCTGCTGCTGTTTCTGCTGTTGCTGCTGCTGCGGCTGGTATTGGTGGTGCTGCTGGTACTGCTGCTGCTGGCGAAAATATGGGTACGCATGCGGCTGGTGCCCCTGCGGCTGAGGCTGCGGCTCACGCGGCTCACGCTGGTGGTGGTGCTGCTCCCAATGCTGCTGCTGCTGCTGCTGCTGCTGCTGCTGGCGCACCAAGAGCAGCTGCTGTTGTTGCTGCTGCAGCATCAGCAGGTTCTGCATCGCGCGCGCCTGCGCCTGCAGCTGCTGCACCGACGAGAGGTGCTGGTGCCGAGGGTGCGGCTCCCCCGCCGCCGCGGCCGCCGCAGCCGCAGCCGCCGCGGCCGCCGCTGCTGGGTGCGGAGGGTATGACATTGAGCGCTGCACGGGGCTGCCGGGAGAGGCGGCGCCCGCCGGGGAGGGGGCGCCCGGCGACATGGGAGCGCTGGAGGCGGTGGAGTCAGCGGCGGGCGGCGGGCCCGCGACGAGCAAGTCGGCGCCGCGCGGCGCTAACAGCGCCGCAAGCCGGGGGTCCGGAACGCCCGCGCTCGCCGCCGCGGCATAGGCCGCAGCCAGAAGCGCGGCGGGCGCGCCCCCGCCCTGCGC